ATCAAAGCCTTGGATGGATTCCCAGTGAACACAGCATATTAATGCTCGTTTGCATTCAAATTAGCATGAATTGTCCAAAGCCTGACCGCAGCTAAGGACTCAGGAGACCGAAGACACTCTTCATGCTGGCTGTCCTGACTTTTCTCCCCCTTCTCTCTACCTGTGTCTTGCCTCAGTCCCCTGAATGATTTTCTTGCTTCTGGGTGTACAAAAGCCTAAATATAGTGGTGGAAACAGCACTTGCCTTGGATTTCAAAGCCTCACTGGTTATTAGGAAGGTATTTTAACAAATTGCTTAAACTTATTCATCCTTAGTTTCAGTATCATCGAAACTGTGATAGTATTATCTATCTCAAAGGGTTTATGAAGGAGTGAATGAAATTAACCATGTGAAAGAGGCTGACACATAACAAGTAAATTTTTTCTAATATTCTAGCTTTGCCTCACTGTTCTGATTTGAACTCTGGCTTAATTCAACTGAAATGTTTTGTGATTGCCAGTTATATAGTGCTGAAAATTGAGTGTGTATGTGGTGTACACATGTGTTTGTGTGTGTGTGTTGGGGGTGGGATGCAGAAAGTGCAGCTGGGTAGATTTTGGCACTAGTAAAGACCTCTATCAGGGGTCAATGATCTTTTGATTAATTGTAGCATCACCAGCCTAGTAATAGAGGGCTGGCCTAGAAACCAATTCGGAACAACCTGAGATTTTCATTTTCATCTAGCCCTTGGGAAAGGCTACAGAAAGACCAAAGCAGGTCCCCCAGTATCCCACTTCCTTTCCTTTCTTACTAGGGCCGTAACAGCCCCTTCACCCTTTCAGATTCTAAAGCTCCCATCAAAGCCACAGGCACCCCAAGCTCAGGTCCTCTGATTTTGTGATACCTCTATTCCTACCAAAGATTATGTGCCTTTTCCCACCTCTCCAGGTAGGCCTCCGATGTGAGTAAAAGGATAAACAATGGGATTAATACCTTCTTCCAACTAGCAAAGAATATGGCTTTTCTGTCTTCCCTCAAGCTGTCCAGTCTGGACTGGATTTACCCCTCTATGCTCCCAGTATGGTTGGCCTTTCACAGATGGCCTGTCCCCTTCTCTAACTTTCCCTTCACTGTGACTCCCTCATTCCTACAGTGACCTCTCTCTGAGGATGTAAAGATAAGGGGGTGAGGTTGTCCAAGACAGATATTCAGATCTGAAATTAATCCTTCTAAGTGACCCTGGCCCAGTCTAACTACCATGGATGCCCTTCAGTGCCTAGAAAAACTTTTTAAAATAACGCCCTGAACTGTATTTGGAAGAATCCATATGTGATAGTTAATTTTACATGTTAACTTGACTGGGCCATCGTGTGCCCAGATATTTGGTTAAACATTATTCAGAGTGTGTCTGTGGAGGCATTTCTGAATGAGATTAATATCTGAATCTGTAGACTTATTGCCCTCCTTAGCATGACTGAGCCTCATCCAGGCCATTGGAAGCCTGAGTAGAAGGAAAAGACTGAGGAAGGGAGAATTTGCTCTCGGCCTGTCTTCTGGCTGGGACATTGGTCTTCTCCCACCTTTGGTGATATTATTTAGATCTCTGTTCCCACCCAAATCTCATGTCAAATTGTAATTCCCAATGTTGGAGGTGGGGCCTGATGGGAGATGATTGGATCATAGGGGTGGATTTACCCCTTGGTTCTGTTTTGAGATAGCGGGTGAGACCTGGTTGTTTAGAAGTGTGTAGTACCTCCCCTTGCCCACCCTTGGTCCTTCTCCTGCCACGTCAGATGTCTGCTCCCACTTTGCCTTGCCCCATGAGCTCCCGGAGGCCTCCCCAGAAGCAGATGCTGCCATGCTTCCTGTACAGCCTGCAGAACTGTGAGCCAATTAAACCTCTTTTCTTTATAAAGTACTCAATCTCAGGCATTTCTTTATAGCAGTGTGAGAACAGACTTACACTTGGATGATATGGTTTAGATCATATTGTATCAGACTAGGAATCTGGGAAGGATTTGGATTCAGCCTAGGACTCAGACTGAAAGTTACACCAGCAGCTTTTCTGCTTCTCAGGCCTATTGTTCTTGGATTACAACTATACCTTCAGCTCTCCTGGGTCTCCAGATTGCATGTCTTGAGATTTCTTAGCCATATATATTATATACATATAATCCTTGGTCATAGGTCAATCACATTCCAATTTGCATTAAAAACAACTTTGGCAAAGTGGGGTTTTAAGAAAGATGAGAAATACAAACTTTCCATTGAGACTGGGATTTCCATTTTAGTTGATCAATATTCTGAGATCTTAGCCCATCTTGAAATGTCAGTCCTCTGCTTTCAGCCTCTTCTCATATGCCTATCTCAAATCCATTTATTTCTTGTTTGCTTAGTTTTCTTCACCTGTATATTTGGGAATTCTAAATACCAGGAATGTGTGTGTATGTAAAACAGAGGCTATGTGTTGTATGTCCCAGATCTCTGGCCCAATTTAAACAGGTTTTGTATAATTCCACCTTGGTCAAAGATAGGGTGTTCCTTTCCTATCACCATCACTCCACAAGGTTACCAAGTCTTTCATCTTGGGGCAGTGGTGAGTGTGCTTCAAGTTCTCTGACTGTCAGATGGGCAGAATCTCTGGACACAAACGGAATGACAAAACTGAGGGTCTGGGGTGGCCATTGGCAATTGGTGGTCCTTACCAGCTGACAACTCTTTGGTTACATGCTTCCAGGCCACTCCTTAGTAGTAGTGTGAATGATTACAGGCTCTGGTCAGTGGTCCATAGTCTAGTTAGTCATTTTGGCTCCTACCATTCCTTTCTTCTTTCCCAGCAGGCAACAATATGTTTCATCTTACTGAAAGCTTCTAATGGCCTAACTCACTATAGTCTTTGTCCCTTTTGTTTCCAATCCCATAGTGTGTAACTTCTGTCTACCTAGGTAGGGCAGGGGAGGAGAAGGGAGCGTTGGTTTACAAGTAAAATTATAATTTAGTGTGGGGAGAACAGCAATCACATTGATCAATATTTCAAAATCTACTCATTCATGTTTTGAGACCCAGAAAGTACTCTTTCCTTGTTCTCTTCCTGCTTGATTGGCTGCTGCTTCTCAGTCTCCTTTGTTGGTTCCTCCTTATCCTTTTTTTTCTGTCATCCAAAGGACCACCAGGATGGCTAGCTAGTAGAAAAGAAAGTTTTATTCACAATATCAGTTTACAAACTTGGAGAGATAGTCTCTGGCTTGAATTGAAAGTGATGCTCTCTCCGAAGAACAAAAAGAAAGTTAGAGGTTTTACACAAAGGAGGAATGTTACATATTCCTCTTTGAGAAAGTTCATTGGCACTAGTAAGGGTGTGGGGAGCTGGCAAGCTCTAATTGGTGAGCAACTGCAGTGGGCAAAATTAGTCCTAGAGTTGCAGCAAGTTATCTCAAAAGCTATAGATAAAGCTGGTTTGAGTTACAATAAGCAGTTTCAGCAGTCAAACTTGCAGAGAATAACATTCCTGGAGCAATGTTTTGTATCCTCAGTGCTTCCCCCAGCTAATTTCTCAACTTTGTTTTAGTTAGGTACGACAAGAATGACCCAATTATTATGATCAGCTTTCACACTTCTTAGCATTTATCACCACCTGACACATATTTATTTATTTATTTATTTATTTATTTATTTATTTTGAGACGGAGCTTCACTCTTGTTACCCAGGCTGGAGTGCAAAGGCACGATCTCGGCTCACCGCAACCTCCGCCTCCTGGGTTCAGGCAATTCTCCTGCCTCAACCTCCTGAGTAGCTGGGATTACAGGCACGCGCCACCATGCCC